CAATTATATACAACCACATCATTTGGTTTGTAAATTTGATTTAAAATATTTGATCTCCCTAACATTACCCATATATATATATATATATATATGTATGTATTGGGTCGTTTTTTATTCAGTTCATGTATGACCAAGGAAGGCTGCTTTTTCTTTGGTTAGAACTGATCAGGATCGAAGGACCTAATATATACTTCCCTGTTCTTGAACATGCATGCAAATAAACCTAGTGAGTCATGAACAAAGAAATACTATCCTATGTTAAGAACCACTAGCAATCGAGAAATACATATCATAGTGGAAATAAGTGTAAAAGTTTGAGGAGGAAGAAACAAAATGAGCAGTAAATCAAAGAAGAGGCCTTAAAGTATGGGCTTGTAATAAATTGAAGTTTTTAGGCAAAACTACAAAAAACCAGTTGCCCATAGATAAGTTTGGAAAAGGAGAAAGGGACCACCATGGTTGTACTTCTGTTGGCTGTTCTCCACACTCTAAATTGTTCATGAGTGGATATTCCTACCATTAGTGTTCTGGACATGTCCTTCAATAATTCAAATTTGATGTTGTATCATATCACAAATTTAAATTTGATTTTGCTCCTCGTCATCATCGCCAACCTACGAAGCAGCAAAATCAAATTTGTGACATGATGCGGCGTCAAATTTGAATTCGTATATGGTAAGAACATCCATTAAGATTTTGTTTTAATTATTAGAGTGTCGTTTCTGTACAGCAACAATAACCATTTGTACGCAGAAACTAAACTTGTGAGCCAAATTAACAAGAAACTGAACTTCTGAAAAGAAAATTCTCCAATTTCTTATTAATTTTGAATTAGTGTAAATGTTGAGAGTGGATGGAACGGATATGTTAGAATTCCTCTGTCCCACATCGGCTAGAAGGCTTGAAAACAAACCCTTTAAATAGAATTACCCCACTCTAACTAACACGAGGTCTTTTAGATTAAAACCCCACAACTGACGGATTGAGCAGATAGTTAAGTGGGGACAATATCGGAGTTGTTGGAGTGGGCCCTCGGCCCGTCTACCTGAAATTTAACATGGTACTCGAGCCAAGGGACGAGCTTGTACATCCACGTGAATGGGTGGGTCCCCTTTGACCCCGCGTGAACGGGTGAGCCTCGATTTGGCTCCACGTAGACCAAGAGATGCCACGTGAATGGGTGGGTCCCCATTGGCCCTGTGCGAATGGGTGAGCCCCGGCTTTGGTTGCTGATGTGTGGAACTTCACGTGTGACCCATAAAATTGGGTCTCACGTGCGGGGAAGTGTTTGAATTCCTCTGTCCCACATCGGCTAGAAAGCTTGAGAACAAGCCCTTTAAATAGAATTACCCCAATCTAACTAACACCGAGACCTTTTGTAATAAAACCCTACACTTGACGGATGAGCATGTGGCCAAGTGGGGACAGTATCAGTGTTGTTGGAGTGGGCCCATGGCCCGTCTACCTGAAATTTAACATGGTATAAGAGCCAGGGAACGGGCTCGTACTGCCACATGAACGGGTGGGTCCTTTTTGACCCCATGCAAATGGGTGAGCCCCGACTTAGCTCCACATAGGCCAAGTGATGCCACGTGAATGGGTGGCTCCCCATTGGCCCTGCGCGAATGGGTGAGCCTCGGCTTGGCTCCACGTGGTTGCTAATGTTTGGAATTCCACGTGTGACCCATAAAATGGGGTCTTACGTGCGGAAGAGCGTTAGAAATCCTCTATCCCACATGAGAACAAGCAATTTAAATAGAATTACCCCACTCTAACTATCACCGAGGCCTTTACCCCACACCTGATGGATTGAGCAGGTGGTTAAGTAGGGACAATATCGGTGTTGTTGGAGTGGGCCCTCGACTTGTCTACCTGAAATTTAACATGGTATCAGAGCCAGGGGATGAACCCGTACTACCATGTGAATGGGTGGGTCCCCATTGGCCTCACGCGAACAGGTGAGCCCCGGCTTGGCTCCACGTGGTTGCCGATGTGTGGAACTTCACGTGTGACCCATAAAAATAGGGTCTCACGTGCAGATGACTGTTAGAATTCCTCTGTCCCACATCGGCCAGAAGGCTTGAGAACAAGCCCTTGAAATAAAATTACCCCACTCTAACTAACACCGAGACCTTTTGTATTAAAACTCCACACCAGACGGATTGAGCAGGTGGCCAAGTGGGGATAGTATCGGTGTTGTTAAAGTGCATGCACCTTTCATGAGAAAAACATAGAGTTTAAGGTGCATTTTGTTCAAATCCAAAGAGCGTCACACCACCATGCAATTCTTAGGGGCCTCAAATGTCGACAGTGGCGTAACTTCGGCCTCATCCCAAATGAACCAATTGTTCTTTGTTTTTTTTTTTTTTGGCGAACAAGATAATATATTTTCCGGGCAAAGATGCCAAAGAAACAAAGAAGCCTACCCGAGGCAAAAGCAAATAACAGAAACTAGAGAAAAGTAGTACAAGGAGGCACAAACGACACCGTATCTAATGCTAAAAGTGTCACTCCTCGTATTACCATGAAGAGATTAAGGGGGACAAGGAAGACCATAATTACACAGAATATGCATAATGGAGCATGGGGGTCTGTTGACCCAAATATTATCACATACCTCCCTACTTTGCTGCGACGCCAAAAGATCTGCAGCCATATTGGCCGATCTTGGAACCCAAGACCAGCGGCAGTCATTAAAAACCTCCTTCATTCCTTTGCTCCGCGCTAGAATTGGGAATGCTTCCTAACTGCCCATCGTAGTCAAATCTCGAAGACAGGAAATAGATTCCAGAGAGTTAGATTCCATGATGACATAATTCCATCCTATATTTCTTCCTAACTCACACCCATGCAACACAACCAATATTTCCGCTACAGCCGTAGTAGAGGCCGTCACCTTATATTTGACCGTTGCCACAAACCTGCCTACTTCATCCCAAGCCACCATACCCATAAAATTTGAACCCCAACCCCTTAACCAACTGGCATCCACATTAATTTTAATGAATCCCGTAAAAGGTGAAGACCAATGGACATTAGAAACCGATCATGGGACAGAGATCGGCAGGCTAATGGCCGAGGCTTGGTTACTTTCTTTGAAGGCAGCCACCGAATGGGTGATAACTGCAATAATTTGCTGTGGAAAGATGGATTATTGATTAAAGAGGAAGTTGCATCTTGCCTTCCATATATGCCAACAAGTGATAGCAACATATGAAAATAAGCTGCTCCTAGCACTCATCTGTCCATTTACCGAATCAGAAATAACACCCAACCAATTCACCCAAGATGTAACCTTTCCCCTGCGTAAGCCTCTTGTCAACATTCCCCCGTGCCACACCTCCTCTACCCACGGGCAGTGAAGAAAAAGATGTACCATTGATTCTTCCTTCGAGTTGCAAAGAGGGCAGATTGGTGAAGGCGAAGATCGGCGCTTAAACAAATTAGCCTTCGTTGCCATTGCCTCATGTAAGGTCTTCCACATAAAGCATCTTATTTTTGGCAGTACCTCAAGCTTCCATACACACTTCCATAAATGTTTTAGGATGAAGGTAGACCTATGAGGGTTACCATTTCTTTGTTTCCGATTCCTGGTCATAGCCCAATGATGTCCAGACTTGACCGAATAGATTCCCTTTTTCACGAAATGCCACACCAATCTGTCATTCAACGACGAGTCACCCATATGTGTCTTAAAAATCGCCTTAAGCTCTTCCTCCACCACAAAAGGTTTAAAGAAATCAATATCCCAACCCCCATTTTTAGTGCATAACAAAGAATTGACCCTAAGGTTTAAAAAGACTGACACCGTGCCCAAGGGAGATGGACATCCCAAGGGAATAGATGGCAGCCATCTATCCACCCAAACCCGAACATCATTTCCATTCATTATTTGCCAGTGTGCACCTCCACAAAGAATTTCTCTACCAACAAGGAGGCTTGACCATGCCTAAAAAGCTCTTACACCCCGCTTTGCATCGAAGAAAGAGCAGTTAGGGAAGTATCAAGCTTTAAGAACCAACACCCACAATGAATTTGGCTCCATTAACAACCTCCAACACTGTTTCGCCGATAGGGCGTCATTGAACTCCGCAAAGCACCTTAAACCTAACCCGTCTTCTTCTTTCGATCGCCCTAATTGCTCCCTTGAGACCCAAAGAATCCGGTTCTTCCCTTCCTTTTGTCCCCACCAAAACTTAGAGATCATTGCATCCAAATCATTGCAAAATGTCGTAGGAAACTTGAAAAGGTTCATGGGATACGCCGGACTTGCTTGCACCACCACCTTAATTAAAACTTCACGCCCCGCTTGTGAGAGAGTTGAGCGCTTCAAAATGTTCTTTTGCTCCTAAACAAAACACACACAGCTACTCATTTTTCTTTCTTCTACATTTTTTTATTTTAAAAAACTTTATTGACATTCTCCTTGTTGGGGGTCGACACTACTATGAAACCATTTATTAGTGCTGCTATGATAAACGACAAGAAACGTATATTACTGTCGGATATTAAGCAAAATTCGACAGAAAATGGATGCAGTGGCGGATATAATAAATGAAAGAATTGCCAGCGTCAGGAAATGAATTTTCCGACAGAAAATACTCTAAAACCGACAGAAATTGTGTCGGATATAACTGACAGAGAATCTCTGTTGGATAAAACCAACAGAACTTGTGTCGGATATAACCGACAAAGAGTTTATTAATAATGATTAATAAGAGCATCCAACAGAAAATATATTAATAATAAAAAAAAATATAAACCACTTTCTTAATCATTTCTTTCCCTTTCAAATGTATTAATTTTTGCATAACAATAAAGAACCAAGCCATTACTGCTGCTTAGAGAAGACACAAAATTCCTAGTTTTTTTCACTATGCTCAGAGAAGGCAACAGTATGAGATTTACTACATAATGATTTATCAATACAAATCTACAAAAAAGATTATGGCAGCAACTGCATGTACCTCAGAGACACATTATGATTTTCACATAAACATTCATGGTGTTAATTCCTCTTGTGAACAGAACGTATCCAATTCTGAAAAGTTGGTTAAGACTGGAAGTTTCTTGCATATTAAGTGCTTGCGCCTCTGCAACAGCAACAAAACCAAAATGGTATCTATCTTTACAATGTCGTATCCTGATTTTTTATACATGTTGAATGGAGCTGTATCAATCATCCTGCAATGCAAGTACCCCTCTCTTGAGGAACTCATATGCAAGATTAGTTCCTCGCTTGCCTTCAAAAGATGCCATTCAATGCCCCTCTTGAAAATTTACGAAGTCATAATCTTAAATCAAGTCTCATTTGAGACACAGTGAACTAAAGCTTTGTCTTTTCAAATCTGGTGTTATAAGTGGGTAGTTTTGTGATCATTCAGTTAAAAAAACAATACAATTACGAAAACCAAACGCATTCAATCTACGAATTACGACAAGAATACAATGCAATGCAATTATGCCGAGCATATAACATGCCCAAGAAACAACATTTGATAAAGTAAACTTCAATTAGGGAAGCAAAACAAACCTTCGAAGCAATTTTTTCACCACAATGTTACTAACATAAGGCGAATTCTTGGGAGGAGTTGGTGTAGGAGGAGAGGCAACGACACCCTTTTTGTTAAAGCAAACTTCCACAGTCCCCGCTAAAAGCTCAACTTCATCTTCTTCTTCTACTTCTTCCAGTCGTTCTTCTTCTTCTTCTTTGCCCTCTTCTTTTCTTCTTTTGTAAAACGCGATGAGTGTGGCGGTGTTGGGAAGAAGCTCCATTTTTTCAAACAAGTATTGCTTGACCAAGTAGCCTAGCACAGACACATACCTAGAAGGCAAAAGCATCAACTCCGCGAACGACTCGGCGAGTAACCAAGCCATTACTGCTGCTTAGAGATAAAGGGTTTTATTTTGGAAAATTGTCATTATTGTCGATTAAAACTGACATAAATGTTTTTTTTTAAATAAAAACCAACATAAAATTTTCGTTATTGTCGATTATAACCGACAGAAACAAAATGGAGGCAAAATCCCCCCAAAATTCCCTCCGAAAATTTTAAATCCCTTGCCCCCCCCCCCAAAAAAAAAAATTGTTACGATTTTAAAAAATAAAATAATAATTGTTTGGTTTAATAAATAAATAAATAATATGTATTTAAATACGTTTTTAAAAATTAAATAAATAATTGTTTGGTTTAATAGATAATTTTTACACTTTTGGTTTAATAGATAATAACCCATGTAAAATATGCGATAAAGAAACAAAAAGAGAATTGTACAATGAAAATGTCATCGCACAAACTAAATATTATCTAATTAATACTTGAAAAACATAAATAAAAATTTAGCACAAATTACTTTTCCCACTTCAAAATTTAGGCAAATTTAACAGAGATATATGCATTCTACGAAACTAGTTTCCATGATCTAACCGTCAAACTTGCTTGTAGATACTACAAGATCGCATATGTAAAAAATCGCGAAAAAAAAAAAACATTAAGAGATTAGGTAACGGAACAAAAGTTTTCGACAATTATAACCAAAATATCACAATTTAACGGTTATTTTAGCTCCAGTTTTGATGATTTTTTTACAGTTACACTCCTCGACCCTATAAGAATGCAATGAACGAATTTGATCTTCAATTTAAAATATTTACACTAGTGGATACCACAAAATCTTATTTTATACTTAATGGAAGTATAATATTAACTCTAAGTGTTTGTTTAATCTACCGTTTTGACGCAATATGCAATCTACGAAACATTTTTCAACGATTCAACCGTCAAACTTATTTGTACACACTCCGAGATTGCATATGTAAAAAATCATAAAAAACAAATATTCAAAGATTACGTAACGGAATAAAAGTTTTCGATGGTTATAAACAAAAAATCACAATTTAACGGTTATTTTAGCTTTGATTTTAATGATTTTTTACAGTTACACTTCTCGACCCTATAAGAATGCAATGAATAAATTTGATCTTCAATTTAAAATATTTACATTAATGGATACCACAAAATCATATTTTATACTTAATGGAAGTATAACATTAACTCTTAAGTGTTTAATTAATCTATCGTTTTGACGCGACACACATTCTACAAAAAAAAATTTCAGAGATCTAACCGTCAAACTTGTTTGTACACACTCCGAGATCACTTACGTAAAAAATCACAAAAAACAAACATTTAGAGATTAGGTAACAAAACAAAAGTTTTTTACGGTTATAAACGAAAAATCACAATTCAACGGTTATTTTAGCTCTGATTTTGGTGATTTTTTTTCAGTTACACTCCTCGATCCTATAAGAATGCATTGAATGAATTTGACCTTCAATTTAAAATATTTACACTAGTGGATACCACAAAATCTTATTTTATACTTGATGAGAAAGTATAACATTAACTCTAAATGTTGGTTTAATCTACTGTTTTGATGCGATACGCATTCTACGAAACGTTTTTCAGTGATCCAACCGTCAAACTTGTTTGTACACACTCCAAGATCACATATGTAAAAAATTGCAAAATACAAACATTTAGAGGTTAGGTAACAGAACAAAAGTTTTCGTTGGTTATAAACAAAAAATCACAATTTAACTGTTATTTTAGCTCCTATTTTGATATTTTTTGCAGCTACACTCCTCGATCATATAAGAATGCAATGAATAAATTCGATCTTCAATTTAAAATATTTAAACTAGTGGATAAATCTTATTTTATACTTAATGGAAGTATAACATTAACTCTGAAGTGTTTGTTAAATCTATCAATTTGATAGGATATGCATTATACGAAACTAGTTTCAACGATCCAACCGTCAAATATGTTTGTATATACTCTGAGATAACATGTGTAAAAAATCGCAAAAAAAAAAAAAACATTCAAAGATTATTCTGGCGGTCGTCCAAAATTTTGCTTTGTTCGTGTCGATTAAATCTGACAGGGCCATGAGTGAAAAAAAGGGTAAATTACATTTTCATACCTCAGGTTTGGGGTCTATTTCAATTCCTTACAACAGCTTCAAAATATTTCACTTTCATACCTTAAGTACTATTTTATTTCAAAATAATACCTTCATTACATTTTCCATCCATTGATCCGTTAAATGCTGATGTGGCTACCACATATATGCCACGTGGCTGCCAAATGTCTGCCACGTGACAAAAAAAATAATTTTTTAATTTTTTTTTAAACATGAATTTAAAAAAAAAAAAAAAAAAAACTTGAAAACGCAGAAACCCACCCCACCCCCGCAACCCCTCTTCTCCCTCCCAAGCATCCCAACCACCTCTCTCTCCTCCACTATCTTCACCTCAACTCCGATCCAAAAACCCATCCCATCCCATCCCACCCAAAACCTGAATTTTCTTACCTAAAAAAAAAAATTGAAACACACAGCGACCCACAGTCTACAAGAAGAAGAAGAGGAAGTGGGAGGAAGAAAGAAAAAAAAATTGAAACTATCCTTCCCCCTTCCCAACTGACCCATATCTGCAGCAACAAGAATAAGATGAAGAGGGAGGGAGGGATGAAAGGGGGGAAAAAAAATTTGAAACTATCCCTCCCTTCCCCCTGGCGAAACCTAGATCCCATATTCCCCCCCCCCCAACCCGCAAAACCTAGATCCCATAGTTCCCGCCCCCCGCGAAACCCAGATCCTATATTCCCCCCCCCCCAG